AGATTGCTGTACGACAAATATAAAACAACCTGGCTTCGAAGCGCGGATCTAGCTCGCGGCTGGTCTGGATTCGAAAGAGGCGCGGAAGAGCAGAAACGTGACGAGGTTGGCAAAATAAAGTGTATCGTCTTGGTTAACGAAAATAACAAAAGTTTATTTTATAACCAGTGCTCGCGATATTTACAACGGGTTAATATATACAATAACAAGTTTTCGCGATATGTACAGCGGGTTAATCTGGATTTGGTAACAAGGGATTCGGTAACAGAGTCTGCCCCCGTTCGGATAGCCTTGTGGATGAAGCTGGTCGTTTGCTGAGACACACTCGGCGAAGACAGAGAATGCCAGAGGCGCTCTACCTTCTTTTGGACTGGCTTTGGATAAGCGGATGATCAGGAAAGCTGGTCGTTTGTCGAGACGCACTCGGTGAAGACAAAGTATGCCAGAGGCGCTCTACCATCTTTCGGACTGGCTTGGTGCGAGAACTCAGGATTGGTGCGGTCGGTGAGATGGATGATCAGGAAATCGCAAACTAGCGTTAGCGACGCCTGGCTTATATACGCGTCGTGACGGCGTTACGGAGTGGCGGGGGTAGCGACGGCGATCGCGAGCGCCGGGATGGTGCGGCGGAACGGTCGGTGATTACAGCGTCCCGACGCCGCGATCGCGTTCGGCGGTCTACGGTCGCCTTCGGCCCCGCTCGGCGCTTCGAGGCGGTCGCCGCGGTAAGTCCGTTCGCGGACTTTCTAACAGTACATGCTAACGTTAAAAAAATACGGTGGGCACACCGTGCCCGTTCTTCACTCTGCGGGTGGTCGGCTGGGTGGTCTCGGCAGGGCGTTTATGCCGGAACGATGCAGTTTCAGGGGGTGCATCGTTACATCACCCCCCTCCTTGAAAAGCGCGAACTGGGCGCTCTAGGGTTTCGGCTTTATCTCGCGGATGTTGCGGACGGAGCCGGTCGCGTTAAAGCGGATATGCCATCTTTTCCCCCGGGATCGCATCTTATGTTGACGCGACACGTGGGCGTGGAAATGTGGCACCCAAATGATGTGCCCGGGTTCAACCTGCACGGGGATCGGGGCGGTAGTTTCGTCCTTTCTGCCCGCACGGACCGGACATCGGCCGGTGCTGGTTGCGGTGGAGGCGGCGCGGGGATCCCTGCCGTTGCTGGTTCCGGTAGTGCCGGGCCGGTTATCGGTGGCGGCGGAGGACTCGTCGCGGCCGGCGGGTTGTTGGCTGGTCCGGTGCCGGAGGTACGGTCGTCGGACGACCAAGTACGGTCGAAAGATCAATATTCGTTTTTTCGATGTTGGTGATCTTCGGCAGTGCGTTACGTGCGTGCCGTGGCTTCGTCCGGTTTAGTGGAGGTGGCGGGGTGGTGAGCCACTCCAACTTTCGCCGTTGCTGTATGTCGGACCGCTGTACCGTGCAGCCGACCGTCGGCACGTTTTTGGGTGTCGGCGGTGCGACTGCAGGCCTAACGCTCTCGGTAATGGCGGTGGTGGTGGCGGCGGAACTCGGGGCAAAGAGTTTTGTCCATGTGGTCCCGAATCCTAGACAGACCGGATCGTACTCCATCGGCTCTGCCAGGAGCTTCTCGATATCGGCGAGGATATCGCTTTCAATCGTAGACTCGCTCCGGTCGGTTGCCATGGTTTGTCTATGAGCTTTCGTTCTCGGCGCCGGTATTTATTTACCATTTCTGGAGTGGGGCAATTATTTTTGCCTAAACTTTGGCTTCGTCGTCGTCCTCCGAATCTGCTTCGTTATTGTTGTCATCGTCCTCCGCATTCGTTTTGTCATCGTTGCCAGTTTCTGTGTCGGTATTGCTGTTAGCCTCGATGTTATGATCGTTGTTTTTGCCGGCGTCGGTGTCGGCGTCGGCGTCGCTCTCGTTGTCCTTGTTTTCGGTCGCAGGAGAGGGGACCGATTTTAAGTCTTGGACGTGGATATGACGTATCCACTTGCAGCTCTTATCGCGCAGGTCTACTATTACGGAGGAAATAATTTTGCGCACCTCGAGGGGGCCCCGAAATTTTGGCGCGAGTTTCGCGTTGAACGCGGCTGCTTTATTGGAGAGTGGACATTCGCGTTTCCATACCCACTCCCCGATTTTTGGTGCCCATTGACGGCGTCGTAGATTGTAATGTTTTTCCTGCTTCTGAAAAGCGCGCGCCAAATGTATCCGTACGAGCTCGTAGGCTTCTTCGAGGTGCCGTCGTGTTTCGTCGGGCGGAGCGGCGTTGGTACTCGGAGCGGTCGCTCGGTTGAGTGGGGAGGTCGGTTCGCGGCCGAAAATTAGATACGCGGGGGTATAGCCCGTGGCTTCATGGTGAGGCGTATTGTAGGCAAACTGGAGTTCGGGGATGCGCTCATCCCAATTGCGATGGTTTCGGTCGATGTACTGCGATATCATGGTTTTTACAACCCGGTTTGTCCGCTCGACCGGGTTGCAATGCGGCGCGTGAACCGGCGCGTACACATGTCCGACGTTGTGGGCGGCGAGCATTTTTTCGAGTTTGCCTGAAAGGAGTTGCGTTCCGTTGTCCGATAATAGTGTGTCGGGGCAACCGTGGCGGAATAAAATTGCTTAGGCGATATGCGTGGTTACGGCGGCGGCGGTGGCGAGGGTTTGCGCGAGCTGGGCAGTGTGTTTGTTCGCGAATGAAATGTCCGAGCCGGTATCTAGCAAGGCGTCCAGCGGACGGTCGCGGATGCACGTTTTCAGGTGCGGCCGGGGCGTGAACCTTACGCCGGAGTTTTCGCGCTCCCGGTTGCGTTTCCCGGCGACAGATGGTACTCCTTGGTCAGAACGCCGTCCTTGCCGCATTGCGAGCAAAATTTGCGGGCGGGGCGCCGACAGTCGAAGCGCGTGTGTCCCCGTTGCTTGCAGCGCCAGTAATATTCGCTTTTATTATATACCGCGGCGCTGACCGGGGGGTCGGTGGCGGTGGTTTTCGCGACGATCCGTTTCTTCCGGTTCTGCTGTAAGCGTTCGAACTCCCCTGCCCGTTGCTGCAGCTCCCGGGGGCTGGGCACCTCGCTTCGCCAGATGCGATTTTGATAATCTGGATGCATGTTTTCGTAGAGCTGCTCGACCTGTTCTTCGGTCGAGTAGCCTCCCACCCTACGCATGAGGGCCAGCATTTGCGTCGCGTATTTTACGTACGGTTCCCTTTCTTTTTGTACGCGGTCGCGGATTTCGTTTGCTAATTGCAGTCGGTATCGTCGCGGAAGGAATGTTTCTTTAAAATTGGCTATGAACTCCGCCCAGCGATTTTTCGCGGTTATTTCGGCACCACAGCAGCGTGTCCCCTCAGAGTAATTCGGGCAAACCACGTAGCCAGTGCGCGTCGGAAAACTCGTAGGCGGCCCGTAATTCGTCGATTCGCTCCAGGAATGCCCACAGGTCCTTCCCTTGCAACCCCCACATCCGCATTTGGTTCATGATCTGTGTGGACGGGTTATTCGGGAGGTCGGCGTGTATTACCGTCACCGGTGTTAACGGGGGATCCTGATTTATTGTTTCCGGGAGACGGAGGGTTTTCCGTACTTCAAACACCTCGGGTTTTTCGTCGATAAATTTGCTTAATCGTTTTCGGAGATCGTCGAGATTGCCCTCGGTATCGAGTCCGAGTATTTCCATTTCATGCACGAGATCGTTCTTACTGAGCCGGTAGTAAAACTCCTTCATTTTGCCGGTTTCCTGGGTCTGCTCCTTACGGTCGTGTCCTTGTTCGGGCACCATAAAACAATCTGGCTTCGAAACGTGGATTTAGCTCGCGGCTGGTCTAAGTTCGAAGGAGGCGCGAAGGAGCAAAAGCGTGACGAGGTTAGCAAAATGAAGTGTATCGTCTTGGTTAACGAAAATAACAAGAGTTTATTCTATAACCAGTGTTCGCGGTACTTACAACGGGTTAATATATGCAATAACAAGTTTTCGCAATATGTACAGCGGGTTAATCTGGATTCGGTAACAAATGTTCGCGAGATCTACAGTAGTTGGGCGTGCGCAAGATACAATGATCGGTTTGGCGCGGGCGGCGCGAGGTAATACGCGGTACGTACGGGGCGGATTCGGTACTTTCGGCGGTCTCGCGAGCCGAATCGCGTGACAATGGAGATCGGTACGGGCGGAGCTAGTTTTCCGGGCGGCGCGGATCGGAGCGCGGGAAAATGGCGCGAAGCGCGGATGCGACGTGAGGCACGAAGCGCGGACGAGATCGCGGTAATTCGGCGCGGAAGGTGGCAGGATCGATATAGCGCGAGTTTGACCGCCGAGAAGCGCTCGGCAGAGTCTACGAACGGCTAGATCGAGGAAAACGGCGCGAGTCCGGCCACCGAGGAGCGTTCAGTGGAGCCAGACTGCAAGCGTCGAGAGACGGAGCGGTATCCGGCGAGAAGCGCTCGGTGGAGGCAGAGAAGCGCTCTCCCCCCGTTCGGATAGTCTTGTGGGTGAAGCTGGTCGTTTGCCGAGACACAGTCGGTGAAGACAGAGAATGCCAGAGGCGCTCTACCTTCTTTCGGACTGGCTTGGTGCGGGAACTCAGGATCGGTGCGGTCGGTGAGACGGATGATCAGGAAATCGCAAACTAGCGTTAGCGACGCTTGGCTTATATACACGTCGCGACGGCGTTACGGAGTGGCGGGGGTAGCGACGGCGATCGCGAGCGCCGGGATGGTGCGGCGGAACGGTCGGTGATTACGGTGTGACCGGAACAACGATTAATGTAATAAAAACTTATGTATTAGCCACTTACTACTGGGCTGAAATTACGGTCGCCACTGTATTTTCAGGCTTAAATACAGAAACCCGAATCGTATGCGTTGCCCCGTCCTTCCTCTCAGCTTAATGGCTGCCGTCTTTTACGTCGCGGACGTGTTCAAGGCCGTCGGCCACGCCCTAGTTGCGCGTTGCGTAATTCACGGATATTGGAACAGGATTATCACTGGGGTCGCCAATAGTGACTCGTTTGTTTATTATAAACAAATAACAATTTAATATTTCACAGTTTACAGTCTCTCCGTTATCGCGGTCTCGCTCACTCGCGCTATCACCGGCAACGTGCCTTCTCGAATCTGAGTACCGTCGATTCAGAGCTAATTCCGACTAAAAGTCGTTTTGCGTGTATGGAACGTGCTCGTACTTGTAATATACGGCTGGATGTTCGCGCTTATCGTAGGCGATCACGGGATAAGTCGTACCGACTCGAGTTATATCGCGCAACGTGTTGTCGCCTCGAAATTCAACCGTAGACTGTCCGGGAGAAACGGGTAGAGTTCCCCCACTTTGATGTTTGCGCCGGCGCGTTACCTCGCATTTCGGCGCGAAAAGACTCTATCTCGCGCGCCTACCTCTCTCGCCCAATCGTATCGCTTGCTGACGAGCGACACGATCCCAT